GAAAATAATTAGCTCATTTCTGCACTCATTTGTGAACTCTCATAATTTCACTGATTAGTTCCGTTAATAAACACTCCGTATTTGTTGCTGTTCAGACCTCTCAGCTTTTTGTGGGAGTTTTTATACTGATAAGCCTATATATTTCCCCACAACTGTCGTCTCAATTAGGCCTAATGCACAAACATCACATGTGCTCACGATACTCGTACAACCGTTCCTTTAGGCCTGTGGTCCTCTCTGTCTCTGAAGAACTATTCCGTGCTATTTCTGTTCAGTATTAGCGACGCTGTCTTTTGTTAAAGATCTCGCTGCGCACTTGAGTTAATCTAGTCGATAAGACGCGCCTCTTGAGACGCTTCTTTGATGTCTTACGCTACTTTATTACACCCACGTCACTGCTTGGCTCATGAATCAGAAGTTGGAGCTTGGAACATCGATATTTTTTCATCGAATTGGTCGATCCTCAATTGAGTATCATGTTGGACTAGGGCACTAATAAACAGTGGTTCAGATATCAGAAACATTTTCTTCTAAGTCTTAGAAGAAATCTAAGTAGTTACTCGGCCGGTCCAGCATTCTAATGTTCAACGTGAGCATGTTTTTCCTTAACAAGTAAAAAAATGCCCACGCTAGACGTGTTCATGGCTTAGTAGTTCCGATTAGCCGTTTGTATCTGTTATTATATTCAATTAGCGAACTTCACGCTATGCTGAACCGCTGTCTGCTGTAGCACCCCATAGACAATCCAGAGAAGAATTTATCGCCAGACCACTTTTCAGTAAAAAATGGCGAGGTTTCTATGCGAGGGGCAAACTTTTCCGTTGAAATACAGAGCAAATTGTTAGCGTGGTAAAGCATGGAGTGGCGTTTAAATTCTTAACAATTACTATTGCCTCCAAGTTAGTGAACTTCATAAATTAGCATCGTCTCCACTTCATGTTAACTCGATGACCGAGAAACAGCTGAATATTTTTCTTCACAAGTCTTAATTTGCATTAATTTTTTATATAATTCAACAAGCGAATTTTTTCGTTCTTGAAATTTATTTAAATCATCGTTTATTTTACGCTATTTCCTCTGTTTTTCCTATTCGCCTCATTTCATTTCATCATAAGCAATAAATGATGCGTGGTAGCCTTCTTCAATTCTTGGCCAGATATTTTTCCCCTTCACTGGCATCAATGACGTACTATAGTACCTATATATCATGTATTATACCTTTGAATATTTGTATCGTGCATTACATGGCTTTTCATAACAAATTTGCCTCCATCACTGATCATACCGCGGCGCCCTATAAACCCGCCTTCCTATTGAGTGTAACGGCCCATAAGACGACACTAGCCGGCCGCAGACGCGCTCGCTGTATCGCGCGCACCATTTTTGCACGTTTTTGGAACGCCGCATTAGTTTCTGGATTAGTTTCTGGAGTGCACTTAACTCTAACATTCTTACATTCTTTAAAAGTCATGTGAACGACAATGAAAGCTGCCACGTTAGCTGTATAATCTTTTTATTGTGATGCAGCGAAAGTCTGTCGGCCGCTGTGATTCAAGAGCACGTTTCTAGTTCAGATTTTCTCGTCTTGATGAAAACGTGTCGCTGAGTTGAAGCCCTGCGTTTTGCTTGCTTGTATTCATTGACTAATTACTGTAAAATATTCAGGTGACAATATTATTACCTAATAAATTTATCATTAATTTAAATCGCAGTTAGCAATTCGACTCTCTGGTTCGATTTGGACCCAATTTTTTTCTAAAAATGATGTCAAAAGGAATAATTTGCTTCCTTCTTAATTAAGAAGCCTGCAAGTGATGCAATATAACCAATTTTGGTTGCTCTTGCGCGGTTTTTCTTAAACCGCATAGAAAAAGGAATGTCTATTAGTGACTGTTGCTTCTGTTGTGTATCTTTTGTTTTGTTTTTTTTTCTGGTTCTTTTGTCTACTTAACAGGATGGAAATCCACAGTTACACTCCATATCAGTTACGCTCAGCTACCCAGTATTGCTTGGCCGTTATAATGCAAAAACGTAATGGTCCATGGTTGGTCAGCTAGAGCTCATCCGGTCGACCTTTGACCATCTCTTTTCCCTCACCGGGAAACGAACAATGTATTCTGACGCAGACAAAAAGTCTTGTGGATACTACAACCCTCCTACAGCCAAATGAAAGCATACAAAATGCTTATCATTTTGTTCGCACAATACGCCCTTGCAGGTTAAAAGTTTCGGCAGGACAGGACTCCCAATTTAGTGTGATGAATGTCTTCGAACATTTGATTGTGGTAGTGGGCACCCTCTCCTACTTTCTTTTTATGAGGAAAGAAAAATCAGTAAAAATTTTGTGCAGGTCGGATAATAATTAGGACTTGCTACCTAGTTTTAAAATACAAAAATTCAGAACGCAATTCGCATGAAATTGGCTGGTAGGTATGTTTTGCCTAGTGAGAACAATTGCGGGTATTTATGATAATGCTTTATTTATGTAATTCCTTTAGAAATGTTGCACCCTTAATGGAATCTACCATCGGCACGCCGTCATTTAAAATAAAAATGTTTAAAATACAAATTTTCAGCACGAGCTGATTTAACACAACATCCGGTTGTGTTGAGCTCATGCTAGAGCCCTTGACGTTCTAAAGCGGATGTCGCTAGGACAGCTGAGAATTAATTCATTGTATGGACGTTCAGAAAAACTGCAAAAATAATGAATTGAAAGAAAATGTGCGATCTTGTGAAATTTTCCATACCAATGCGAGGACCGTGATGAACTGCGACAGGGTCAAACTGAATACAAATCAGCTATCCTTCCATTCGCTGAGAACGAATCAATAAGATTTTTATAGACAGAGTTCCTGTCGATGGAATGTCATGTATGGTACGCTAGTGCTGCTGTTCATTGCTGAAGATTTGTCGATGGTTGTTGAACAATCTGTTGATCTAGAGTTTCTAGACGAACAAACTGCTTACGAACAATGGAGAACAGAATAATTTCATGGCTTGTTGTTCAGTACAATCTGTAGACAGAATCATCAGGATAGAAGAAATTCAATGCTGATTCTGTGACACAGAAGAAAAAAATCAAACTTGAACGAATTGGTACTGACGCACAACATTACAGCAAAATTTCGTTTTTGTAAGGTAATATTACACAATTTTGATAGGTTACTGATTATTACGAATTGTTGGTTGTACTTGAAATTCAGATGCTAGTGAAACCTCCAAAAAATTTTTTTAAATTTTTCTCTGGTTTATTTTCTCTGTGATAGGAAACATTTAAGCTCGTGCCTATTTTTCATCCAAATTTCGGTGTACATATCTGCATCACCCTAACTCCCATCCTCATACTCTTGCCACTAATTTTTGGCTAGCAACCTCTACAACTAAGATACATTCAAAATTGTCAAACCAGTACATAAAACTGCGATATCGGCTGTTTCCGTGCTGTTCTTTCTATATGGCAGAGGTGTGTTTGTTACTCTTAATATGAACAAATAGCTTGATGCGTTCCTAAGGCAGCAAGTTACTCAATGTAACATGATAACGTGTCTAGTGTTAGTTGAGCACCGCGTCATGAGCAGCAGCATGTTGGCCATGACACCTGGAGAAGCAAGCAACTCTCACCGTACATGTTTTCAAATCTTCACTTAGTCTCCCAGCCCTACCATACCTGTACATGCCAGACGGTTGTGAATTGTTGCAACAGCAACCTTTGTTACTTGTATTATCTTGAGCAATTGTATTATCTTATTGTATTAAGCAATCAATGTACCTACACAGAATTGGATGAGCATAGAAGTTTGTCGTTGATGCACTATAATGTTACGATTTCAATAATATAATAATGTTTGTAAGTTTATTTTAATGCATGCACAAAATATTACTTACAATGGCGCAAGTAAATATTGTTTTAAAGAAATTTTAAATTTAAGTTTCGTTTATTTTATAGTAATTTTTCTCTTGAATTGACAAGACTCCGTATGATGGATGATATAGTAACTGAACAAGGCATTTGTGAAATATGCGGCAATTTTTCGAAAAGTCGATGGTCTCAAGAACTCGAGTGCGACGTTTGATAAAACCGTGTGCTCCTGACCTCGAGCTAGCCTGGAGGTAGTCCAATAAATATTATCATTTTTTTAGATGGCCTAATGACGGGGGCACGTGTGTTTTCTTCACAATTTAATTTTTTGCCAGTTACGTTCTTGCCCGTTGAGACGCGAGCGCTTGATCCTGCTAGGCTCAGGATGACATGGTTTATTGCCGGTGAATTTCTGCCCAACTATTTATGCGATTTGGAGTCTTGACCTTCATAAGTTTTTGAAAGTCCCGCGTGCGCGTCTCATTAATGGCCATTTAAGGTGCATGCACACTTGCCATGGCTGTACGTTTGAAGCTCTTTCAGGAATTTGCAGAGGTAGAGTTCATCCTTTATGCGCCTGAAGCCGCGCATGCATGCTACTGGTACTGGTTTCAAGGTCGCGCTTGTTTTGCAAGGCACGCGCTTCAGAAATGCTGCGTCATGAACAGGCTGGTCGCGTGTTGCAGTGAGGAGGGTGGGGGGAGTGCGGTCTAATGATGCGAATTATATACCTACGTCGGGTTGGTTATAAACTTACTTTGTGACTGGTCACCCGCAATGAACTAGAACGTTCATTGTAACAGCAAGTTTTGTGCCACTCCAGACAGCATTGTAAAAGCATTGTATGCCACTCCAGACTTTTGTGGCATACAATGAACTGCACTTGCATTGAATTGCTACTCTTGCATGAATCATCTCTTGATTGGAACTTACCTCTACCCATGATGATCTAAGTATTTACTTCATGATTTAGGAAGTATGAGGAAGCATTGCAATTTGGAAAAATCGACATTGAGTATATCGGTGTCTGATTTCTTATATTATTTGTTTTTAACCAGAACGTTCATTCTCAAATTGGCGTGTTGTATAAAGTGCATGTTGCAGTGCAGCTCTAAAACTTATTATATTCCCGTTTCAGCAGAGGTTGCGGTCGCCGCTAGAGATCTGATGCACGAGTGGACCTTACACTGACGGCACCATGTCTCAGCACAGCGACGAACAACATGCTTCTGCCTCTTCTGACTCATTTTGGGAGGTAAACAAAATCTTCAACTTGGTCTTCAATTATGATGCTAGCTTAAAAGTCACGTTACATGCGACCTATCACTTTTAACGTGTAATTAGAGAGCAAAATACTGGTGTAAATTTAATTGAAACCCAGGGAACATCAGTTCTTTTGATAGATTACATGATCAATTTGTCGTCTTACTTTAAGCCATTTTGATGTCTAAACAATCCGTATGAGCAAGCTAGCCTCATCGTAAACCACGCAAAAATAAGGCAGAATTGATCTGTCGGATCAAGATCTTCATTAACAGCTCCACTTAAGAGGGGGTCAATTTAGGATTTCCCAGACGTTATAGACGCCAATGGCAGATTCAATAACGTCAACATATGAATGTACCGTTTTGATTTTAATTCATTTGTTAAGATTTTCTGATTTAGGACTTACGGTGCAAGCCGCAAAAAACTTAACAATTACTGTTTGCAACTCGTACATTGAAGTGCGAGCTTGTGCGAGTCAAAATCAGTAGAGAATTTATTGAACCATTGCAAACTTCTAAATTGGTTTTAATTGCAGATCGGAAACTACAAACGGACAACAAAGCGCATCGAGGATGGCAACAGACTTTGTGATGACCTGATGCGTCTGGTGCAGGAGAGAGCTGAGATCGAGAAGCTCTACGCCAAACACCTTAAAGAATGGAGTAAAAAATGGAACAACATCATCGAGAGAGGTGCTCATAATTAACCATCTTATACTGTGTGTCGCCGATACGTTGTACATAATTTTAAACTTTTATAATAAAATCATGTGCGGAATTTTTTATCATTTTATTCACGTAGCACGTAGAATGCACTAAAGTTGTGCCATAAAATATAAAAATTGACAATAGGTTCCTATAAACGTTGAAAGTGAGTCTTTGTTTTAGACAGTGTCCTGTATTATTACTTTTAGCGTAAAAATATTTCATTGAATTTTAGCTTAAAAATATTTCAGGTCCTCAGATCATTCCCGAAACAAGGGGCTCTCTGCACATTGTTGCACAATTGGATAGCTTTATTATTTCAATGAACAAGGGGCTCTTTGCACATTGTTGCACAGTGGGATAGCTTCATTATTTGAACGAACAAGGGGCTCTTTGCACATTGTTGCACAATTGGATAGCTTATCAGAATCCTGCTGATAGAGTTCACGTTAAATAGAGCTAAAATTTGATCTTCCGGCCCGTTTAATGTTTTAGCAGGTGGACATTTGAATGCGCTGAAAATCGAATTTTTGGAGCTAGTAGGAAAAAGTGTGGCCAATTTATGGACATATTTACTTGTGGACATTTTTCCCAATTTTGCACTTAGAAGAAGTAAATCACCGTGGAACTAAAATACCGAGATTAAAATACAGAGAATAAAAACCCACTTGAACCTCCATTTGGCACGGAACTTCTATTCAAGTCCTGTTTTGAGTTTTGAATGAGATTTTACATTTTTTTGTATGAATTTACTTGAACCACGTTAAGAATCATATTTTTATATTTATTGTAACTCTCCACTCCATTTTTAATGTCACAGAATTCCACCATTAAAACTAAAATTCCAGTATAATACCCAGACATGAAACGCCAAGCTTTATTTGTCTAACTTTGGCAAATAAATATTTTATAATCTAAACTTGCAAGTGTGAAGGGAACTATGCAGCCTTATTTGATTCTCTACCATTAACTGACTCCTATTATTTGAAGAGATAATGCTGCTTCCGTCTTTTAAAATGCGCGAAGGGCATAAATTTCGATGTCTAAGCCAGAATTTTTTTCTATTTGTGATTATTTTAATTGTTAAACATAGTAAAAAAATGAGGCTTATAAAATAGCTTCAAACGTAAACAGTGTGATGAGGTTGGCTTTTTTGGGAGATTTTATGTTACCATCTCAGGTCGCCAGCTCACGCTTAGAAAAATTGTCTTTCTTTCAAATGCCGTGCAAGATTATTTTTGTAATTGCAAACGTAATTTTCAGTCGCTGATGATGGGCCAACTGAAGGAGAAGCGTGACACAGAAGAGCTGTTCAAGAAGGCACAGAAGCAGTGGGCGAAGCTGTACGAGCGCGTGAACAAAGCTCGCCACGACTACCACACCGCCTGTAAGGGCGAGCGATCAGCGCTCAACCACGAGCGTAACGCTACCGGAGACTCCGCCCTCTCCCCGGACCAGGTGTGTCCCCACGGGGGCCTCTGGGTGTTGTGTCTGTCTCTGGGTGTTGTGTCTGTCTCTGGGTGTTGTGCCTGCCTCTCCTGTCTCTGGGTGTTGTGCCTGTCTCTGGGTGTTGTGCCTGTCTCTGGGTGTTGTGCCTGTCTCTGGGTGTTGTGCCTGTCTCTGGGTGTTGTGCCTGTCTCTGGGTGTTGTGCCTGCCTCTGGGTGTTGTGCCTGTCTCTGGGTGTTGTGCCTGTCTCTGGGTGTTGTGCCTGTCTCTGGGTGTTGTGCCTGTCTCTGGGTGTTTGCTGGTGCCGGGGGGCGAGGGGAGGCCGTACTTGCCACATTTGGGGAGAGGCCGTGAATTTTAGCGGTCCACTCCAAAAAAATGAATGAGTTAAATTGTTCTAATGATTGCAACCACATTTCGAGCAGAAAGCAAGCCCCTAATTAAATTTAGAGTCGCCCCAGCTTCTAGTAATCCAAATCAGGGCCTATACCTTCAAAAAAAGTTAAGAGATCGTAAGTTCATCAGCCAATCATTGACGGCCTTTCAAGCAAAATCCACCAATCATAGACAAGAAAATAGAGCGTAAGTACTTACGTTCACTTAGCCAGTTTTGAAAGTCGCTCTGATATGCTGTTTAGCCGGGTGAATTTGGGTCAGGATTCGCCAGTTTGAGAAAGTCGCTCATTGCTTTGAGTGTACGATGTGTGAAAGGTTCATGTCTGAGGGAAACTTTTTTTTGTGTCCGGCCTGATTTGAAGCTCCAGAAATTTTTGCCCGTTTCTTGTATGGTTTTAGTTTACGCTCGTTTTACTGGCTGGTGTTTTCCGTTTCCTTTGATATGTGAGATTTTAAAAATTATGTTTCGTACCGTATGCGATTTTAGGTGCGTATAACGACCGTGTCTTTCAAGGGATATTTCATAATTGAATGTGAATGATTTTGCATCATGAAATCCTGTTCACATCCTGCATGCATATTTTATTGGTGTGACTGGTGCTGATTTTTTGGTTTAGTATTTCATTCCATAATGCCTGCTTTTATGATTTGTTCTCAATTTACGTGGATGAATTTAGGGCAAAAAAATTGCCTTCAGTTCGGTTGTGAAAAATTTTTAGGTCTGGTGATTCAAAATGCAATTAATTAATCAGCTTAGTTTGGCATTCTTCATTAAATTTGAGTTTAATGTTTGATAGGTATATTTTCAGCAATATCAATTTGGGTCTTGTGTTCTTTCAGATAAAAAATTTCGCTGCGCCTTTAACATCAAAAATTTATATAGTTTCCCTTTTATCGTTTCCATTTCTTATTCTTGCCTTCACCGCCGTATTTCTCAGGGAAAAAATGATTTATTTCATGTTTAAAATTCAGCTATGAATGTCCTTGCGTCAATGATCTGTGTTGTTCCCCTGGTGCTATGAGGCAACCTCTTACTAGAATATTGATTGCGTGGAGCTTTGGAGCGATCCCTGGAGTTTTGGAGCGATCCCTGGAGTTATGTATTGTTTATTGGGGCGGCTTATTGTGCTAAGTCCGGGGCAAGGTTCTAGCATGAATGTCTTGAATATGATTCCTGTATTATTGAATCTTCTTTGAATAATGTTGCGCAGCATTATTTCAATTCGTGCCAAATAACAGTTTGTACTTGTACAAGTCATGGTTCATTTTTATTTACTGTACCAACCTTAGAACTTGATTATGATACAGCTATGAGTAGGTTAGCGTGAACGCTATTCTGGTGAACCTTTGTACTCACATTGATAGTTCAACGTCAGAATAAAGTCTCTGCGTCGCGGGATAGTTTCACGATTTTTCTAGGACAACGAGACGAAAAATGTAAAAAAATACCTTGAAAGTTCGAAAAATTATCTAGGAATGGAGTCGTAAATCAAAATAATAATTTTGCATCTCAATTTAAGGATTGTATCTAGGATATCATTGAACATTACGATACAGATATAAAACAAGACCTGTTCTAACATTCTTTAGCAACGGAACGATACGAACGGTTTTATTGCGGGTAGAGTTAAACTCTTAAATATTTATGGACAGTTAGCAGATATGGCGACATTTTACTGCCAGCATTTATGCCCTTGTATGTATGGCTGACAGCCAAGCCTTTCTCGATGACGTGTCATGTTTGATGATATACTTCTAACAATCGCGCTTAATGACGTTCACTTGGGTCTTGTTCAAAAATGTACTGAAAAGATTCATTTAATCAAAATCTTACATTAATTATTGACTGGTGTGTCTAATTAAGTCCTGATAAAGCTATTTTAAATCGTCTAGATTAAATCGTCTCGTCTAGAATGAAAATGAACAAAACGCAGTTGCTTGGTCATAATCAAAGGAAGACGTAACTCCTGTAACGTCATAGCAGGCCGTTCGTTGTATCAAAACAGGCCGTTCGTTGTATCAGTTGCACTCTCACGAGCTCATATGAAATGCAACATTGCATTGCTTTCAATGTTGACTTCAGAGACGTGACATTCTTGAAATATATCGAACTTGTACCAATACTTTTGAAACGTGCCGAATTCAATATTATTTATTTCCTTATCCTGCAATCCTTATAATCCGTTTATTTCTCTTCCGAAATTATTAGCTATTCTTTACGTAGTTGTTCGTTCACTGTTACTTCCTAGTTGTTTCTTCAAGTTTCTGTGTTTAATTCACTGGAAATTTTTCCCTTTTCCAGAAGCATGTGTCGGTGAGTCAATCTTTTTATTTCTCGTTGACTAACCGTTTTATTTACTGATCATTTATTCAACGCCACACTTAACTAACTCGAGCAGTAGAACGTATTGCGTATACGCAATACTGTTATAGGCCTATAGATATACGTTATATTGTTATAAGCCCATCATAAAAGGCCTATAAATATTAGTTGTATTTTTATAGTTCTATAAATATACGTAATACTGTTATAGGCCTACAACAATAGGCCTATAAGGTCAACACAGCATACGTTGACCTTATACGTAAAGGCACGTATTTCCTACACGAATGTTAGGGTACGCACACAGTGAAAGCAGGTTGCCAGCGTGCTGGTTACCTGCTCAGGCTGGCGCCTGAAACCATAGAATACAGAAGCCTATTCGTACAGGTTTTCACTGTGAACACTTACATTATTATCCTATGTTCATTCTTGTGGCAGGTTGGAGCAGGTTGCCCGCGCGGGCAAACCTGCTTTCACTGTGTGCGTACCCTAATGGCAGTGATTTAGCTCGTTGCTCTCCTCGAACACATTTTTCCTCGTGCGGCTCTGTAAGCTATGCTTCTAAATCCTCTCACGCATCTCCACGTAGCGACTTTCATCATGACATTTCTGAGTACACGTCTCACAGTATTTTCCCTTCCAGTTGTCAATACATAGCACAGTTCCTAGGCATCCCTCGAATGATTTTCTCATGCACTTTTTCTTGATGTGTTTTCTCCCGTTTTCTAATGTAATTCGTTTTCTTGACGATCTTTTTTGGTATATTGACCCAATTTTTTCTCATTTTGAGAAGCTTCTAATGGTTCACTGCGTCATTCCTTGGTTCAATTCACCGATTTTTCAGAACTTGGTCTGCATGTGAGTCCCCAGCTTTATAGGGAGATAGAAATCCACTTCATGCAGATGCAACTGGGTCTTCGTGGAGAATTTTCAAACGTTCAAAAATTCATCTGAATATGATTTATGTCTGTCCTTACATTTGAAAGCTTCACTTGTATAGGTGGAGAGTGGTAGCCTCGTTGAACACATTTGTTACATTACATTGTTTTTCCTCGGAACGCTTGCTAAAAGAGTCATCGGTATTTATGTAATAACTTTTTTCAAATACCTCATGTTAGATAGAGTTTAAATATAATCCCGTGCTATAAGTATCTCATGGTTGCACGTACTATGCATGAGTGGTATGTTGCTGGTACCCTCATTGCCAGCTGCTTACCAGCCTCTTCCATTCAATGCGTTAGTTTAATTGCCATCTACTATCAGTTGAATTGCCATCTCCGTGTGTGTGCTATGCGCCAAACCTGTCATCGTGGAATCAAAATTGTTGATCGTTAAGGTTTACCTAATTTCTTATATATTCGGTTATCTGTACATTTCAGTATTTCCGACCCGGTAATCAAGATTCTTTAATGACTACCATATGATCCATCTTGTTGACCTAAATAATTGATTTCGACATTATATGCGTTGAATCAATCACACTTCATTCTTAATTTCTATTCCCAAATCTGTTATACTACGTCATTTATTCAGCTGTTGTACTGTCATTTAGAGTATTAAACGATACGTCCAACTGTACTTTCTTTTTTGGATAATTCTTACAATCGGAACAGAAGTTTTAATTCTTCGATGTCAGCCAACGTTAGTCCACGGTAGACATGTCAGTCACTGAGCACAGACACATTACTTTTCTTGTATCTTACAATACTTCTTTCTGATAACTTTATCCCCTCTTATCCTCTCACTCGTGTCTCTGATCACCACCACATCAGCCCAACAATATCAAGGTAGGATCATCGCCCGCTGGCCTGCCTCTTGCGCCCTCACCTCAGCTCACTGCATAGCTCGGCTCTCGTCTCTAAATGTCACTCAAGCTTCTATTGTCACTCAAGCTTCTGCTTCTAAATTAAGTTCAATACTAAGCAGACTGTCTACTCGAGTGGCTTAAAATTATAGCTCGGCTCTCGTCTCTAATTGTCACTCAAGCTTCTGCTTCTAAATTAAGTTCAATAATAGGCAGACTGTTTACCAGAGGGGGCTTAGAATTATAGCTCGGCTCTCGTCTCTAATTGACACTCAAGCTTCTGCTTCTAAATTAAACTAAATACTAGGCAGACTGTCTACCAGAGGGAGGGGCTCAGAATTATGGCTCGGCTCTCGTCTCTAAATGCCACTCAAGCTTTTGCTTCTAATTTAAACTTATACTATTTGGCAGACTGTCTACCAGAGGGGCTTAGAATTATTGCTCGGCTCTCGTCTCTAATTGTCACTCAAGCTTCTGCTTCTAATAAGTTCAATAATAGGCAGAGTGTCTACCAGAGTGGCTTAGAATTATGGCTCGGCTCTCGTCTCTAAATGTCACTCAAGCTTCTAATAGCTGAAGCGCTAGTAAACATTTGGCCACTAAACTAACTAACTAACTTCTGCTTCTATAAATTAAGTTCAATAATAGGCAGAGTGTATAACAGAGTGGCTTAAAAATATAGCTTGGCTCTCGTCTCTAATTGTCATTCAAGCTTCTGCTTCTAAATTAAACTCAATACTAGGCAGACTGTCTACCAGAGGGGCTTAGAATTATAGCTCGCCTCTCGTCTCTAATTGTTACTCAAGCTTCTGCTTCTAAATTAAACTCATACTATTTGACAGACTGTTTACCAGAGGGGCTTATAATTATGTTTCCCTATTCTCAGTTTGATGATTACAGATATCTGGCCCTTATTTTGCTATCGCGCTGCACTTCGGAATTCGTTAGCATCTGCTTTCATGGTTTTGGTTTTCATAATCTTTCTTCATGCCGTACATTTCAATAAGTATCATGCGGTTCTGATCTTATGAAAATATTAGCTTATGTTAAGCAATAAAAATATAATAAATAGTTTCATTAAAAATATAAATAATTTCATTCGAAAAATAAATTTATTTTTCTTGTTCTTTTTTTCTCTTGTGTTTAATTGAATATTTTGGTCGCAATTTCTCGTCTTAACGTCCTTCCTTCAGGCGTCATGTCTGGTGCTTATTGAACTCATGTCTATAACTGCTTATTGAACTCATGTCTGGTGCTTAGCATTACTATGAAGTTGACTGTGACGCTGCTGATGGTGACACGAGTTAAATATACTATAACGTTTATAACGAGCATCCTTTGCTAACGCTTCGTAATCAAACTGTCCCACAAGTCCCTAAATAACCTTCTTCTGACTACAACACCAGAGTCATTCTCCATCATTTGTTGCCTCGCCCTCGTATATTCGGACTTGCCTTTTTGCTTTTTGTTAATTAATGAGGGTGTAAACAATTTTTATTATCAATTAATACTTATTTATATAAAATTACTCGTCATTTTTTGCTTCCCTCTCCGTTTATAATTTGCTTTCTTGTAAGTCCCGTGCTTATCTGTTCTAAATTAACGAATTTTGGGGCCAGTTTTGGTACGATTCTCCTGGCTAATTTCTTTATACAAGTGAATAACTTTGGGATTGTGGTACTTGTCTTAAAACTTAAAGCTTTGGTTGTCCATTATTTGTCAAAGGTAATAGAAGCATTAAATTTATCTCAAAGCCAAAATTTAAAATTTATTTATATCCTCGTTCATGTGCTGAACTCAAGTTTGAAATTAAGAATGAATAGGCATTTTAATTTTTTTCGATTTCATTCGATTGCGACTTGGATAAATGTTAATAATAATAATGTTTAAATACTTTTCATATATATATATAGACATTTTAATGCTGATTATTTTTCTGCTAGATATTAAACGCACGAATTAGGGTGGCAGGTTGCTGTTGTTCATGTTCATGAGTGCAAGATCACAAGCGCAGTTTTCTTCATGCCTAAAATATTTTGAAGCAAATGCTTCACTGATGGATAACAAAATGGTTGCCATAGTTCTAATTTCTCTTTAAATGATTCTCTTTTGTAATCATGGTCTTGTCTAATCTCTCCTGAAGCTTCATTTATTTTCGATGCCTCTTTGTTTTATTATAAAAATTTAGTATAAAGTATTTGCTCAAGTCATTAAAATCTTTTCTGGGAAATACATTTGCTTAAGGTCTGTTAAAATGTTGAAGGAACGTGCAGTAGGTCGTTAAGAATACGTTATATCAGTTGTCCTATATTCCTGTAATAAAATCACATAGCATTCAGTTGTGAAGATGAATGTCTGTTGAAGTGTTGACAACTTGTGTTGATGTTAATGAAGCAATGCATGTGTGCAGGTGAAGAAGCTACAAGAGCGCGTGAGTAAAGCTAAGGAAGACGTGCTCAAGAACAGAGAGAAGTACGAGGCCGCTCTCAAGGAGATCAAAGACTACAATCCTAAATACGTCGAGGTCAGTCTTGCGCTTCTTCTTAACTTTTGCTGGCAGTTTAGTTGGTAATATTCTGTAGAATTATAAGCGATGTCTTATCAACTGGTAGCTCCACTCTTTATATTGCCTTTGCCTTTAACTTTGAGTGTAGTCCTAGTGTGTCCTAGTCCTTGAACTTTGAGTGTAGTCCTAGTGTGTCCTAGTCCTTTAACTTTGAGTGTAGTCCTAGTGTGTCCTAGTCCTTTAACTTTGAGTGTAGAGCCTATGATGTTGAGTGTAGTCCTAGCTTGCATCACTCCAAGTCGGCGAGAACTATCGCCTGGTCACTGCAGTATAACTAATGCTGCTCACCATAAGTTTAAAGCAACTTTGAACGACTTAGCTTTCTGATCGCCTCTTCAGCAAAATATAACCGAGTTTATTACCTACCCATAGCTTAGCTCTGCTCCAGACTAGATATATACACGTTGTACAGTGTACACCATTCTCCTCTTCACTGGTGCTGCAAAATATTAAAATTAGTTTCTCCCCAGGAAATGACAGCTGTTTTCGACAAGGCTCAGGAAGGAGAAGAGAAGCGGCTACGGTTTTTCAAAGAAATGCTATTCAATACACACAAATGCCTCAATATTTCTGAAGATCCAAGGTGAGTCTTACGGGGAATTTGTTTGCACTGAAGTATTTCTCTTGGGATAACCTCGTTAGATTTCTGCCAAAGAAACTGTTAACTTGAACTCGGTACATTTTTTGCCGTACAATTTGGACTCCAAATTATAGGTCAAATGTGATGTTATAATGTAAGGCGATGGCGAGATCAATGTGGGGACCTTTGCTCGCTATCTTCAGCCCGTCCTCCGGCTGTTCTTAATATCATGTCAGGGTACAGCGTTCCTTCTCTTGGTCTACAGTACCGCTGGCTTCCTGTATATCTTCTGAGCTTTCTCTTTTTGTTGCTGTGTGAGCTTTCTCTTCTGTAGCTGTGTTGCTCTTGTTTTGCTGTGTTGCAGCACTTGACTAATTTGTGTCACTGATGTGTTGTTGTGTTGCAGGTTACCGCGTATATACGAAGAGTTCCACCACACGGTATCGAACGCAGACTTCGAGAAAGACCTGAAGTGGTGGAGCAACAACTACGGCGTCAACATGCCCATGAACTGGCCCGCATACGAGGTAAGCCTTCATGTCATGCCATGAACTGGCCTGCATACGAGGTAAGCCTTCATGTCATGCCATGAACTGGCCTGCGTACGAGGTAAGNCATCGCGCTTCTATCCTAGCCTTAGCGCCGAGGTAGTCTAATTATTGCGATCTTCATTACAATTGTGAGTTGTGTCGTTTTGTAGAACGCTCATTTATGTCGTCAAAATTTCCTGTAAGATCTATTTTTATTATACGAGATGTTTTCCAAATTTAATGTGCTTGTTAGCATTTATTTCTTGAATTTTTATAGCTTTTTGAATTGAATATTTAGACGCGTTGGGTGAACGACGCGTTAATGTCTTAATAGTGTAGTTTTCATTCGCTTGTCTGCTTGCTTTTTAGTATCGCAAACATGAACGACATCGACTTATCCAGGTTACATGTATTAGTTACGTCATCAAATTGACTAGAAAAGTGAATCAACACGTCAAATTTTAAGCGCAGTGTATAAGTTTGCTGTGCCTGGATACCTCTGTGTAGTTCAGGATAGCACGCTATCAAGATAGCACGCTATCTTGCTCGTGTTACATGTATTTGTAAAGTCATTAAATTGACTTGAAAAATGAATCAACTAGTCAAATTGTAAGTGCAGTGTATAAGTTAGCTGTGCCTGGATATCTCTGTGTAGTTCAGGACGTTTGCTCGTGTTGGTGTTGTTGTAGTAGCGCCTCGCGTGGTTGCGCTTCATTGATGAATTACGTAGTACCAGCTTTGCTCGGGTTGCCTTGTGGTTTTCAGTAAATTATGCCCCATAGAACTTTTTGATATTCTCATAAGTTTTTAGGAGTTGTGCTCTAATGGCTGATTTGGGTGCTCTTCGATTGATATTCAGCCATTAGACTGAGTTTGCGAAGTCAAAATGCAATCTCGACCCTCGACCTCTTTGAATTGCGCCTTGTTTTCCTGTGAACCTTTCTTCACTCAATATTGATTGATGAGGGAGAGAACTTCAAATTGGTTCTACAATGCTCTGAATAAGATTTATAGCTAATTTTATCGAAAAATAATAATGTCACTATGAGGGTCTTGCAGTACAATTGAATTAGTCAGCACATGAATGCAGTAGTAATGTTTGATGGTTATTAGATTCGCTGCATTGTTTATGTAAGTTGTAAATTCTCTGTGGTTGATAAATAGTTGGAAGATTTGTGAAGTGAATTTTCGATATGTAGTGGCCTTGTAAGCCTCTCAGCAAAGGCTTATTCAAAAGCTGTTTAATATATTTTCCCTGTGCTAATTATATTGAATCAATTTATTTACTCAGAACCAGTTATTTAGACGCGGTATATTTACTCTGCAGTAATTATTAAAATTCAATACTTTACCTGTTAAACGATATTTAGCAATGAGGTGGGCTCAAATTCAGTGATGTCGTCGCTTATTCAATCGCGTCTCTTGAACACAGCAGAAACTAGTTCATAGTCATCAACACTAATGCTTGAGCTGAATTGTTATCAATTTATGGCTAACCTTAACGACTTTTACGATGCGTACTTTGTTTGCTCAACCTACAGTGTCCACTTGTTTACTTGTATCCATGCTGAGTTATTGGGTTTGATGTTAACCCAGCTACTGCATTGTATTGTTAACAACGCCTTTAGCTTCCGCGTTCCATCTGAGAGCTTACGAGTGTCGGTGTAGGGATACTAGACGTAGGCACGCTATCTTACTGCACTGATCCCTCAAGTTAGCCTAGAACTAGAGAGTTACGAGTGTTGGTGTATAGACACTAGACGTAGGCACGCTATCTTACTGAACTGATCCTCAAGTTAGCATAGAACTAGAGAGTTACGAGTGTTGGTGTAGGGACACTAGACGTAGGCACGCTGTCTTACTGCACTGATCCCTCAAGTTAGCCTAGAACTAGAAAGTTACGAGTGTCGGTGTAGGGACACTAGACGTAGGCACGCTATCTTACTGCACTGATCCCTCTAGTTAGCCTAGAACTAGAGAGTTACGAGTGTTGGTGTAGGGACACTAGACGTAGGCACGCTATCTTACTGCACTGATCCCTCTAGTTAGCCTAGAACTAGAGTGTTACGAGTGTTGGTGTAGGGACACTAGACGTAGGCACGCTATCTTACTGCACTGATCTCTCAAGTTAGCCTAGAACCTCTGAATTTTGCCCTGTGTGAGTAGTAAGTGTTTGTCCCATGCAACCCCAGCCTTCCTTGTCTTGATGTTTGTTTTGTATGATGAAAATATCACGAGTTTTGGAATGTGTTTGGAATGTGTACCTATTTATTTTGGTTTTATTCATCGTCAAAATCAGAATAGCTGCATTATAGCCATTAAACATTAATTAATCCTTCAAAAATCCACGTTTGAATGTTTTTTATTTGTTCATCATGTTGAATTTTTGTTAGGATTGCTCTAATTAATTTTCTTTCAATCCTGCTGTCTGCACTTGACAATCACGGTTGAAATTTTTTAAAAATTATTATTTCTGAAGTTTTTGTTTTGGCTTTGATTTCGAGAATGCAAAATGTGATGTGTATATTTCACCACTGACTTAAGATTAGTCGCAATCTCGAACCCCTTGTGGCTAAATACTATGCTTAAACCATTCATAGCCTTTTTAAAAAAATACTTTTTGTATGGCTTGGAGTTATCCCAATATTTTGCGTCGCTCGATCGTCACGTGTTGCTGCGCCGTGGAGCTGCAGTCCTGTTACTGACTCGGTAACGATGTTAAATAATACGTGTGTCAATGTGGGGTGTTTACAGGAATATAGCGAGGAGTTCCGCGACATTAGCGGCAAGGGCAAGAAAGGCATCGCTGCCAACATCCCCGAGGGCGCCATTACTCTCATCAACCAACGCCCTGTCTCCGATGATCACCTACCGCCTGTAATATTCACTACATGTATCATAACTTCTGATTTACTCTCTTCAGAGTCCCCTCTTAGGCTTAGTATCTACACAGCGATTGATTGCGGTATCTCTCTTTACTTAATACCCTTGTAAATAATCACCGTTTCTACACTTTGTAAAATTTTACTCCTTCACTCCCCAGTTACTCAGTGAGAAATTGATATTAATACTTTTGGGCAACTTATCCATGTATCTTCTACTGCGCTAACATCTTTTTGTCATCACCATCAATTTCTACGTAGTTTTTGGAGAAGAAGATTCTCGTAGGTGTGTACAAATACTCGCAACATTATCTCGGACGACGAAGCTTTCTTTCGTTTTCACTGAGCCTCCAGCGAACCAAGTAATGTAGATGAATTATCTCTCTCTTACTATACTCGCCTCTCAGACCTCTCCGTGCTGGAAATTGCTTTAAGTTTCCAAACTAATGTAGATCTTTGCATTTATTTTTCCTTTTTCCTCTTAATAATTTTTTAAGCTTGGAGATGCATTACGTTCAACGTACCTCGGAACAACGAGGTACGGTCACTCTTTCCTTAAATATATCGCTCACTCTGAAAATCTTTCATCAAAAGCATTTCGTGCTATAATTTCATCCATTTATTTGTGTTTTGTTATCACGTGGCGTTATATAAATATAAACACAATATCACAATTCTAACGAATCAGTACATTTCTTTTTTTTAATGAACATTGAACACTTGATTGCTTTAACTGAGATCCTAGTCACGGAAATGCGCCCCACGCTAGAGTCGGAAGCTTGCGTGTCGCCGACATACCTAACTCCTCACCTAAATTGCGAGTCGCCGACATACCTAACTCCTCGCCTAAACCTACTCGCTAAACTGAGCTCTGCAACTTCAACGCGTTGCACCGACGCGGTCTCTTATTCATAGCCTCTTCAGAATGACTTTCCCTTCCTTTGTGTTCTTCATAGATGTTTTCTGTTATTCAAGCTTTGTTTTTAAACGTTTTCTGTCATTATATTGCTGCATTTATACGTATTTAATGCACCATGCATTTTCTGAATTAAACGATCTAAGCAATAGCAAAAACAACAAGAGCATGCGTACTTAGTGCCTAACCAATATAATTGTCAAGACACGTTTATCCGCAATTATCATTGCATCTCTTTTTTTTTTTTAAATAGTTCTTGAAATTTCTAACCATTTAAGTTAAACGCTTATTTTATAAGTAATTCCATTATATTATCTTCTCTAAATGTTTTTTAATGGAATGTTCAGGAATACAACCCAGACCAACCACGCAGCAAGAAGCCTGGTGTTCGCTGCAACAGCGGTGGTGGTGGTGGTGGAGGTGGTGGTGGTAACAACACTAACAACCACGACACCAACGGCGACCAGCAGCCTCCCAACCACACCTCACCAACCTCCTCCAAAGCCTCAGACAACAGACATTCTGCCATCAGGTGAGGCTGAGGCTCGCCTCGCTACTGACATGCCAGTCTCGCGTCGCCTGGGTGGACTGTTGCCAAGAGCTGGGCAGCGTTACTTTGAAATGTAGCGGCCGCTACCGCTACAATTGCTTAAATGTAGCGGCCGCTACCGCTACAATTGCTTAAATGTAGCGGCCGCTACCGCTACAATTGCTTAAATGTAGCGCCGCTACCGCTTCTGAAAAAGTAGCGGCCTCTACATGTAGCGCGCAACTGCCCACCTCTGCTGTTGCGCCTCACGTTAGTAAACTTCAGAATGAAGAGGTCAACGAAATTTTGATAATAGAATTAGGCTTTACTTGAGGGGAGAAATATGTAAGTAACAATTAGAAGCATTGTAAGAGGCAGGAATGATTTTTAGCGCATTTTCTCATTTATGGAAAAAAATGCACTAATGTGCTCGCCATGTCAAGCCGTCAGTGTGTCCGTCCGTGACTTCACTTTTTCGTCGACGAGAAAATGCGCTCTCTGTGACTCACTTCAGTGAGTACTGAGTTATATTTTTTGATTTTGCATGAGAAATAATTTGTGCATTAGGTTATGATTGTTGCTTTACCGCGCGTGGTAACGATGGAACGAGTTGTGCCGCAGGTGTAACACCCTGCATTATAAACCCTTATGTTGTCCCTTGTTGCTATTCCGTCACATTCTCAGTCGCTTGGCTAACTTCTAGTTAAAAATCTCAATATTTTCGTCCATTGTTCAAGATTTAGTCGATTGGTTATGTTTTTTTTTTTTTGTTTTTTATTTGTATTTCTCCAAGCTACCTCTTGTTTCCAGTAATTAAGTGTAACTCATTTCAGGTCGTAGTAAGCTTGATTTTCCAAATGTTCAACTTCCATTGTACATGTTAATGTTTATTATCATAAAATCTATTTCATGGTAGTTTGATAGATTTATTTAAAGAACAATTGCACAAATCAAAATCTTGCAATACTTTCCTGTGTCCCGGTTATGTTGTGTATTTAACTTCATTTTCCGGTCAATTATCGTTTTATTTTACCCGCGAGGCATCTGACATTGAAGCAAAGTTGATTTACGGTTAATTCAATCGAATCAACTCGTAACTTATGTTATTTCGACGTCATTTTCGACGGGTATCTATGAACTCTCTTGGGACGCAATATTGGTTCTAAAATGTCATGTTGTGTAATTGTGTTGACGATATCACTTATTGGAAGTTGAATGTATGTTTAGCTCTAATGTTTTATTCTTTTTCTACGAGTTACTGTCCTTTTTAATTTTTTCATTACTCTATTCGTTCGGGCTTCGTGTCGTGGTATCTGCAATTTATGTCCGTAGTATTATACCATACATAATATCGCCATGTAATGATTCCTTTGTTTGGCTTTCGTAGTTTATGAAGCTAAGTCGTGCGCTAAAACCCAGTATAAGAAGAGTGGTTGTTGTTTTGTATGGATACGTGTTCTTGCCTTAACTGATTTTAGGCCGAGTGCGTGCACCGGCAGCTTGTATGAGCTATCATATCAAGGCACGTCCTATGAGCTCGCAAATATAGTGTAGACGCGAATCTTTAATTTGGTTACGGCACTTTGCCAGCGTGTCGCGCAGTAAGACAAGCCAGGAGCACTGTTAGAAAAAACGGTGAAAAAACGGTCCCACTGGCGTTCTAGTGGCCGGTGGCCCCGTGAAAATAAACTGTTTCGCCGTTTTTATCAGATGTTTTACGGATTTCTAGTGTGAAATTAGAATAAAAACGGCGGCACGGTGTTTCTTTCACGTGCTGACCGGCCACTGAAACGCCGGTATAATACCGTTAACGGTAATTTTTCTAACAGTGAGGTGGCTGGCGCCAGCAACCCTTTTGAAGGCTCCTCAGACTCCCTCCCCTCTAACAGCCCTGAGCCAAACAAGTGAGATGCTTCTGTCGAACCTGCCGACTCGTCCAGAATTTATTGCTTCTTCTTAACACGCCACCTGCTTTGCGAATTTATTGCTTCTTCTTAACTTGGCACCTGATTTAGTTGACTGTTGCTTTCAAACTGCCGCCTGGTTTAAAATGTATTATTTCTTTTAATCCGGCCTCCTGGTTTTAATGCTTGCTTCTTTCAAACCTACCTCCTGGTTTGGCATCGATCGTTTTTTTCAAATCTGCTACCTTATCAAAATTTATCGCTAAGTCCAAAAGTGCTAAGAGGAAGACGACTGGGACTACAGTGAACGCGTCGACCCGAACAAGGAAGGCGTGCCTGTGAAGGCGCTGTATGATTACGATGGCGTCGAGGCCGACGAGCTCACCTTCAAGTCTGGTCAGTTTAACTTTTTCAATGCACTTAATGTAGAGAATAATCACGTGTATTAGAGATTTAGACTGACGTGCGACGCTATAGTATATCAGTAATATTGTGAACAAGAAGATCCGATGAAATACACCATGAAAAAATTATTTATGAATGTATTTTGATAGGTCGCCGTTTAACCCAAGCCCTGGCAAAAATTTCGATGTTTCGATAAGGGTTGCTTAAATGAAAATGAACGACATTAATACTCAGTTCTTCACTTTAAAGTCTCATGTCTTCTGAAATGAAATCGGCTTTGCAGGAGAAGAGTTTGAGAAGCTGGAAGACGAAGATGAACAAGGCTGGTGCACAGGACGTAAGGATGGCAGGATTGGTTTGTATCCTGCGAATTACGTGCAAGTTATTTAAGATGACGCAGCGGTCGTGACGGCAAGGTTGATGCTCCTGACGGGACAAGGCCAACACTTCACGGCAAGGTTGATGCTCCTGACGGGACAAGGCCAACACTTCACGGCAAGGTTGATGCTCCTGACCAGACGCGGCCAACACGCAACTCAAGCACTGAGCTGCGCGACCATCCGTTCCTGTCTACCGCCTCTCATTTCCATGCGCGAGTGTAGAGTGAATAACAAGGCAATGATCGTGACCCGGGTCTCCCATTTACCTCTGAAGAAATACTTGCAAGTGGCTTCTGTTCTGTTATAACTTGCTAAATTTGGCCGTGTCTCCTTATGACGCGTTTGGTTGAGTTTTATAAAGACTTGAGCTCATTCAGATGTGAGTAAATGGGCGGTATTAGATAATTTCATTCAAATCCCGTGAACTTGAGACCTCAGTTTGTCTGTCTGTTCAAGGCCAATAATATCATGAAATCCCACGAAGTTGCGGTTATCTACACGCAATTTGCGCCATGTATAAGCAGAAGTCACAGGTTTTCCTCAATCACCGAAGAACCTTAAATTCTCCGCTTGCTGACGTAAAATCAACTTGCCTCCTTATCGGTGCGATCGTCAACAAATCTGTAAATTTTTTGCTAATATATTTGCCCATTGGCTCCTAATTTAGTTGCATTTGTTATTAGCAACTGGAAGTTACCTGCAATGCGTGCGTGAGTGACAGCTTCATCTAAAGAAGTTATATATTGTATAAAAGCTTCGCGAAGATAACTCTAAAGTGCCAAGAAGTAAACACTGTGCGTTTGTGAGCACGGATGAGTTGCAGAAAAGCAAAAATGAATATATTGTCAATTTGATGAGTTTTATTATGAACTAACTGGTGTCATTCTTAAGTCCGTCATTTGATTTCGTTGGTGTCCTGTAATTGAAAGTTAGGCACTAGTGATTGATGCTGTTGCCGTGCCCTTTGTTCTGCGCTGCTGTATTTGGTATACGCTTTGCTCAAGAGTTTCTGCACCAGGCGTGATGTCTTATTATTCATTTATGAAGGCACTTGCTTCGAATCACATGCCATCTCCGTCACATCTGGTGCCTCGAGATGTCAATTATTTCGAGCCCGAGTTTGTGCGTGCGTCTTGTGTGCGAGAAAGTTATTAGGTGGACTGTATATAAATATATACGTAAAAATATTATGCTTATCATGTAGCTTGTACAGACATGTAATTTGTAAGGCTCACCGTGCATTTGTTAGGCGCATGCCTCTTGAGTGGTTCTTCCCACGTCACATTCTATTGTAAGTAATGTTTCCTTCGTTCTGACTGCCAGGTTGGAAATGCAGCATGAAATTTGTGCTTGAGAACGGATTTTCACGGTCATTGTCCTGTGCCGGAGTAAAAAGCATACTTTTTTCCCTTCAAATTTTAAGTGCGTCCGTTTTAAATGAGTTTACATACAAGAAAGTTCTAGAAATATAGTAGTACCAATTTGACTTATTCCAAACTCCTCGAATGTTGCGCCTTTCGTTGCAGCTTGGCATTTATGGTTGAAGTGCCGGACTGCTTTATTTAGGTGTTGATAATGAGACGCTGAGCATTAAACTCAACCATGACTTGCCGCATACCTCACGCGTCCTTAATTCTTTCATAATCAATTTCTCAAATCTCTTTCCTCATCTCTCGCTTGCTGCTCATATCTCATTCATTTTGTATCTACAGTTCGATGTGAGCTCGTTCTGATATTCATCTTGATTTATATATTTTCTTACACTTGTTCTCTCCAGACTCTCAGCTGATTTTTTCGTTAAATGCCCAAAAAATAATTATACGATCATAATTTAGTGCTGTTACTGAACTTCCTGAGGAATATTTTGAAAAATTTATTCGAATTACATGACTTCTAAATTTGAGTGGTTAGATCTTTAAGCCTTAGAGCCACTGTTGGTCAAGTTTATTGATCCACGTTTATCTTCTTTGAAAAAAATTGCAATTTATTCGACGCATTGCAAGTAGACGGTCAAATATTCTCTCAAACATTCCTCAGAGCTGCATATTCTACTCGTCCGAATAGCAAAGCTATTCAAACGCCTTTAATTCAACGCACTTTATTCCGGCTCTGATAATATAATTGGCACTTGAAGGATGACGCTGCTTCGTCTATTCTAGTAGAAACAATTAATTATTCTAGTAGAAACAAGATAATGACTGAAATTTCACAACTATGGGCTATTGTTCGAGCTGCGGTGTCATCATGCTTGTTTGAGTTGCATCCATATGAGGTAGGGTTCTTTCTTGCTTCTGTCAATTTCAATTGTGTTTTGTAATGGTAATGAGTAGTTTTGTACCACTTCCTTACGTTGATTGCAACAGGTACCTGTATTGGTCAGAATTTGATGTGTTGTGCTCTCCGGCAAGTATGTTACTGCAAATGAAATCATTTCACACAATGGTTATGCTATAGCTTGGTGTGTTCAATGCGTTCCGTCGTATTGTGCAAATGCAGTTCCCGATGCTGTAACAGAATTAATTTTCTGGAGAAGCTATAACTGCTCTGAGTCTGTTCCCTTTCCTGCGAACTTGACTTTGAGCATCTCTGAAGCAGAAGTCATCCAGTAGCATTTACGAAGCTTAGTGCAAATTTCTTCCTCGCTGAGGCTACGAATAGTTAGTGCTCTATAAGGAAGGTCATGTTTGTGTGCATTTTTTTGTGTGTTAAAACAAAGGCTGGTACAGCAGCCTGATCTTCAAAAAGCCTCGTGTAATGCGTAGCTCGCTTGCTCTGTCGTCTCGTAGCGCCTGGCGACGTTAAGACAGCGAGCCACGTTCGCTCTGAGATGAGTACATATACGCACCTGAGCTGCCGTCAATTTGATTAAACTGACGCCAGATTTGTTTCTAGTTTTATATCGTTTTTAGCATAAATGTTTGGGAGTTTGTTAAATAACGTTTGGCCGGAATTATTAAATGTTTTGTTCGTTCCATGTTCATCATGTTAACGTTAAATTGTTCATGGTTAATTTTGGTTTCTCACTCAAATCTCACGACATCCCGTCAAGAATAGCATGCGAGACCTCATCCGTAAAAAAATTCTTCTCCTGGAGCCTAAGAGATAGTTATTGAAGCCTTGGTATAAAAATCAAGAGCCAAATGCGCTATGTTTATTTTCAGGTAATTGCGAGCTACTGATTATAAAATAAAACCGTGCTTCCCTTCACAAAGCGTAAGCATAAACGGTTGTTTGCGAATCATCTTTCTAACGCAGACATTATGGGAACGGGGCAAAATTTACTCTGCATTTGAATATTTGAATGCATACTATTTAATAACTTGTGTCTGGTGAATTATGGAAGTCTTGCGTGTGTTGTTAGAAAAACACAAGTCTTTGCTGCTGTTCGTTAGAAAAAATGTTGATTGGTTTTGTGGTATTTGCATATAATTATGATCTGCATTAATGCTCTATGTTTGGTAATGAATTGATAAAGTACTTTAAATTGCAAATTCTAGATTAGTTGTTGCTAATGTGCATATCAGTTCAAATCAGCTGAGACATTTCTGAATTCTGCTCGAATTTTGAAACCAAATGTTTTTCCGAACTCTGCTCAAAATCGTCTTATATTTTTCTGTTATTCGGAAACCTCCCTGTACCAGGTGACATGTGCTCCTGTACGTGCTCATTTTCTTCGAAAACTTGGATTCTGAAGCAATTAGGTAATATTCCAGCACCGTAGATGAAGAAATAGATGAAAGACTATCGTCCATGCCATGTCTATTGTACACTGTCGTGCGAGTAATAATGACCTTGTTGTGTATAGTCTAAGTTAATTATTGAACCTGTACGTTACATCTTCGCTTCTTATCAACTGAGTTGCAGTTTGGCTGCGAACGAAGCCTCAAAACGCGCCGCTTTTATCGGTGTTTAACCCGATAATGTATAATTCACCCTGCTGACTGGAACAGAGTTATAGTTCTGAAATTTCCGGTTCCTGACACGCTATTAAGAAGATTTTATTTATCAGTAAATAAACGATATACATGACCATGTTCTTGCAAGTTTATCATTGCACTACCGGTGTGTTTCCTCCTAATTTTTCCTGTAGACATTTTTTCAACTGTATTTAATATATTTTCCGCCAAGAGCTCAAGTCTCATTGTTACACCATGTTCTTTCGTTCACCTACTAGGAAGGTTAGGTTAATCGTAATCGTATCTCAGTATTACTACTAGCAAGGTTAGGTTAATCGTAATCGTATCTCAGTATTACTACTAGCAAGGTTAGGTTAATCGTAATCGTATCTTAATTAAAGAAACTCAGCGTGCTAGCAAAGTTGATAACCTACGGAGAAGAATTTTATAAAAATGTGACCGAAATTAATGGAATCTATAATTCTTTGTAATTAGCGTGGAGAAAAATTGATAACAACGTGGAAAAGGTATGATGATACATGATAGTTGAATTTGCCTCGTGTTCAAAATAGGTAGAGATTAAGTTGAACTTATATCAAGTTCGCAAGTTGAAAACAAACTAAATTCACAATGAACTGGCAGTTCAATCAAAAATAACTCTTGCATTTGTCGATGCTGAATTTGCATCATTTAATAAATTGAAATATTTCAACTCATAAATCGTTAATGATGCGTTGATTGATTTTGAAACTGATGATTTTATCAAGTCACAAAATGATTTGAAGAAACAATCCGCTGCATTTCAATTTATGAAACAAGAATTACGATGTTAAAAAGTGAAAATCCTCTAATCAAACCTTCTCCGAAATAATTCAGGAAAAAGTTTTGAAATACGCTGAAGATTTTTGCAGTCAAACGTGTTTGCCTAACGTTAGAGCTGTGCTCCGAAAATGATGTATCGTATTGTGTAAAATATTACGGTAGCTTTTTATACTTCGTGACATCAGAGAGAATGATTTAGGAATTGGTTATGAAACCTTGGAAGGACTGTTGGGCTATGGGAGTTATTACAAAAGAAGCGTCAGGAATGAATAGACCTTAAAATTAATAAATAGACGTTCAGAATAACAAGCAAACTTTAACCCACACTAATCTTCATCTCAGGCGGATGAAGTAACTATAACACAAGAGATAAATGTTCAAATTTTATTAAACCATTCTGTCAAATGACTAAAAGATGAGCTCCGTCGTGATGTTCCTACAGTTAGAGCTGCATTTAAGTCCCTCAGCGTCACGATTCGTGTCTACTAGACCATTTAAAATCTTGTGATACTCAGAGGTTCCAGGATCTGGAATAATTCGGGGTCTTTAATAGTTATCAACAGTTTTGGTCTATCACGTTCTAGGCTGCAAGCCACAGAGGCCAAAACATATTTTTTTAATTAGCCCAACCAAACATCATCCGCCAACACGAGAAATAATTTTACGTGAATCAAAAAACGTTTGTATGAGCGTTCCAGCATTTATCCTACACACGAACCAGCCGCCAGAGGAGCGCAGCCGTGCACCACCAATTTTCTGCACCAATAAGCCCTGAATCGAACGCCTTGGATCTCTCCGGACATCCACCAATCAGCCGTCGATCGAACGGCCGCGCGTCGAAGGACTGTTGATCTTGGAAACTAATTTTACGATCTGAAACTTAACATCAGATTTTTTTGTAGTTATGCTTACAGTCAAATTTCTGTTCTACTTCTACTCGCGAACAATTATTCTCATCTCTAAAATCCTGTAAACCGATAAATATAGTTATTTAAACTGCATTCAATTTACAACCTCGTAGGCCTATATGAATTATGTGCTAAAAAATAACCTCTTAGACAATTCTGCGGTCGGACTCAGGGAGGGTCTCGAGGCCACTCTTCTTGGCCTCGCGATTGGCGTTGCCGTTGGCGTCGCACATGAGCCCATCGCCGATCTCTGAACAAAAGTGGTAGAGTGGAACCAATAGATAGGAAGTAAATCAACAACTAATAGTTCGAGAACTTATATCAAAATTAAGAGAGCTTGCGTACCGGATTTAGTCCATAGAAATATTTTGAAATGAAATGTTCCAAAACAAATTGATATAAACGAGGTATAATTTGATGACTCGAGACGTAACATAACGACACGAGACATTTTATTAGTGATAGTGATTTGGTTTCAGCCTCGAATAGACCAAATCTGGCCTATATATGATTCTAGGCATCGCTGAATTCTTACAGCTTGCTGGGGCTCCGAACCCACATCTCACTGCTCCAGTCCTGCTAATCTCGACTATCCGGTCACCGCGCCGATTTTGACAAAAACTGTCACATGAAGCTGAGATCGATCCCTCAATTCACTGCTCCAATCCTGGTCCTCTGAACTGTAACAACTTAGCCACCCTGGCCTCAACCACTGCGCCAGCGGTATTAGACAACATAAGGCATATACTGAACGCACTGATTAAAGATCAGCAAATTAAACCTTTGATTATTTTTATTGATGGACAGTTGCGCTGATTTGGCGACATTTGGCTGCGCACAAAATTTGGCAGGAGTTATCGTTTGATGAACATTTTAAACCAGGATACCATATCGGTTGCTCATCAAAAAAAAAACAATAACAGGGTTTCATGTTATGAGAGGCGGAAACGTTCCGCTAGTAATAGATGCAGAGTTGGCACGCATCATTCAGTCCATCTCCAGCACGGTATGAGTGCTGGAAATAAATTAAAGACTCAAAAGTTGAATTACCAATCAGTCTGAGAGATGCTCGGAAGCGAATTGGATGTTTGTAAGTTTTGGGATTAACAAAATACAGACGCACCTTTCAAAAAAATGGTAAAAATTATCATTTAAATTTTACTTACAGAATCAACTGCTTAGTGTTGTTAGGTATAGTTATGCCCCGTCAATAGGAAATAAACTGAGAGGAATTGTAAAGCTGTCACGTTTTCCGGCATTTCTCGTAACGTTCCGCTTTGGTCCCAAATTTGCACTTATGTAGAATTGAGAATGTTCTAGATTTTGATCGCAAATGGGGACGAACTTTTTATATGATCCTCCTGTCTAATAGAAAAAATGTATTGAGACCAATAAGCATTGTATTTTTGATTGCCAAATTCATGATTCATTTGTAAAACGAGTGCAGATTATGCAAATTTGCTCGAAATAAGATGTCAGGGCAGTTCGCATATGACCAAGATCTTCGATGAGTGAGTGGATCTCTCTTACCTTCTTCTGCAAGTGCACTCCGACCACCGATTAAGCATTCTTACATCGAGATGTAGTCCTGCCCCCTGTGATATCGTTTAGTCCTTTTTGTTGATTAACTTCGATTTATTGTATGATTAATAAATAACGAATGTTGTAAAATTATCAACGCAATTTTTTCCTCCGTTAACTTAACTACATCATCTCAGAAAACGAGAGTTTCCTATGTTATAACTTGTATAGTATAATGGCTGCGGAATCTATGTAAGTAGATGGCTTCCCAGCTTAGCCAACACCAAACAATCAACCTATTTTAATTCGCGTTATTCGCTTGCACCGAGATAATAATTCGTCTGCTAAATCTGATCATGAGTCCCTTCCCTGAGACACTGAAATCGCAGGCCATACTTCCTATTTCCTTCCGTACAACAGTTTTTAATTCGGTTGTCACTTATTTTCTCAAACAGATTTTTATTGGTTTGGCATTGAAATTAATTCTGAATTTTTAATATATTCCATTATCAGTGTCTGTTTCATTCTCATTCCCGGAGCTAATGGTTAACCACTGTGAATGGACAGATCAACTGAGGCAAGTTTCTTGCTCAACATTAAACCTGCCTCCTTGAGGGTTAGCACAGGACGACCCACGTTGTATATTTGTATTCGTGTTTGTAAAATTGCATTTGTATTCGTAACTTTTTTGCTGCAGGTATAGAAACTGATCTATTCGAATTGACTTTGATGCCGTAAAGCTACATGTGCTAATTAGACAGGAACATCTCATCTAAATACCTATAAACCCCTGCATGAATATATCGAGTCTTACATTGACTTTCAGCAGGAAGCCTCTTCCACAGAGAACAATTGTCCTTTGTGTCGTTGTTATTTTTGATCTGAAGAAGAAAAAACGAAGCTTCATTATATGAAAACAATTATTATTAATTTTACTTAGGAACGAGTTCGGCTTCTGTGCTGTGAAGAACTTCCCGGTACTTTAAAATGTCGCATGTGATATCATATATATAAATATATATACAAACACTGCACAGTGCTGAAGCTCCCAATACTCGCCCACAACAGACGAAGCGAAAGCGTAGCCACGGTATATGATGGCGCCCCTCCACCTAATGCCTTGAGCCTGATATGGTGTCCGCCTCACTCCTGATGTCCGCCTCACTCCTGATGTCCGCCTCACTCCTGATGTCCGCCTCACTCCTGATGTCCGCCNGAAGGCTCAAGTGGGGGCTTACACTCCGCTGCCGCTGCCGCTGCACCCTGAGGGCGCTGCGCACCTTCGTGTTGCTCACACCGAGGGCTGAGCGAAGGCTCAAGTGGGGGCTTACACTCCGCTGCCGCTGCCGCTGCACCCTGAGGGCGCTGCGCACCTTCGTGTTGCTCACACCGAGGGCTGAGCGAAGGCTCAAGTGGGGGCTTACACTCCGCTGCCGCTGCCGCTGCACCCTGAGGGCGCTGCGCACCTTCGTGTTGCTCACACCGAGGGCTGAGCGAAGGCTCAAGTGGGGGCTTACACTCCGCTGCCGCTGCCGCTGCACCCTGAGGGCGCTGCGCACCTTCGTGTTGCTCACACCGAGGGCTGAGCGAAGGCCCAAGTTGGAGCTTACACTCCACCGCCGCTGCCGCTGCACCCTGTGGGCGCTGTGCACCTTCGTGTTGCTCACACCGAGGGCTGAGAGAAGGCCCAAGTGGACCACCGCCGCTGCCGCTGCACCCTGTGGGCGCTGCGCACCTTCGTGTTGCTCACACCGAGGGCTGAGAGAAGGCTCAAGTTGGAGCTTACATTCCACCGCCGCTGCTGCTGCACCCTGTGGGCGCTGCGCACCTTCGTGTTGCTCACACCGAGGGCTGAGCGAAGGCTCAAGTGGGGGCTTACACTCCACCGCCACTGCACCCTGAGGGCGCTACGCACCTTCGTGTTGCTCACACCGATGGCTGAGCAGCCGCTGCAGCTGCACCCTGAGGGCGCTGCGCACCTT